GTCCCGAGGCCGAGGTTCCCGTCCCGAGGCCCAGGTTCCCGTCCCGAGGCCGAGGTTCCCGTCCCGAGGCCCAGGTTCCCGTCCCGAGGCCCAGGTTCCCGTCCCGAGGCCGAGGTTCCCGTCCCGAGGCCCAGGTTCCCGTCCCGAGGCCGAGGTTCCCGTCCCGAGGCCCAGGTTCCCGTCCCGAGGCCCAGGTTCCCGTCCCGAGGCCGAGGTTCCCGTCCCGAGGCCCAGGTTCCCGTCCCGAGGCCCAGGTTCCCGTCCCGAGGCCGAGGTTCCCGTCCCGAGGCCGAGGTTCCCGTCCGAAGGCCCGGGTCCCCTTCCCGAGGCCGAGGTCCCCTTCCCGAGGCCGAGGTTCCCTTCCCGAGGCCGGGGTTCCCGTCCCGAGGCCCAGGTTCCCTTCCCGAGGCCGGGGTTCCCTTCCCGAGGCCCAGGTTCCCGTCCCGAGGCCGGGGTTCCCTTCCCGAGGCCGGGGTTTTCTTCCCGAGGCCGGGGTTCCCTTCCCGAGGCCGAGGTTCCCTTCCCGAAGCCCGGGTTCCCGTCCCGAGGCCCAGGTTCCCTTCCCGAGGCCGGGGTTCCCTTCCCGAGGCTGGCTTTCCTGACTGGGTTCCTCTTGGCAGGTAAAGGGGGAGGGTCTAAGTTTCCTTCTGAGTCTTCTGTTTCTTAAAAATGATCAGCTTGAAATAATCAATATCCCAACAGGCATATTTTGGGGAGGCAAACTCTGATCTGCCTCGGAGGAATGAAGCTCAACGACAAAGCTAAGCAAACCGAGCTGCAGAACACTCTAACCTGCCCGGCCGCGGGCTCGGGTGGGTGAGCGTCGTCCACACACTGAGAGGCTGCTGGTTCGATGGCCAGTCAGGGCACGTGCTGGGTTACGGTTCGGTCCCCACTCGGGGAGTGTACAGAAGGCTTCTCTCTGATCGATGTCTCTCTCTCTCTCCCTCTCCCTCTCCGGTGAGGATGAACAACAACAACAAAAAGCATCCTAACCGAGAACCTTTCATTCGGTGCCCGTGCAGGGGCGAACCGTCTGCTCAGTGAGGTGAAATCCTGATGAGTGAGCATCTCAGCTGGGTCACTTGTTTTTTTCCTCTGAATTTAATTTCTGGGTAAAAACTGAAGCTTAGAGAAATCTACTTCAATAATGCAAATGCAGCAGAAAGGAGTTAGGAAGCAGCAACGTTAAAATATTTTCCCTCTTCTAAGTTGTTCACTTAGTGAATAGTAACTGATAGAAGTACAGAGCCATCTGCAGACGCGCCAGGGGGAGCGGAGAACCTTGGGGATCGGGAGAAGGCGGGCCCCTCCCCTGTGTGCAGACAGTGTGGACAGTCCCTCTGAGGCTTTCCACGGTCAGGGTCACTGTTAGCTGACATGATACTTACAAATCGAAATGCGACCACCCTTGGGTGGCTCCCTTTCTGGGTGTTTTGAAATCCTTTTGAAGTCAGCCCTAAAAATACTGAACACGGTTATAAGAGCCAAGGCAAATAGCACGTTGATGTGAGACAGCTTCCCTGTCCCCACCCCTCAGTTCGGATGCCATCAGAACTTCAGGCTGCGGAATGTTGGCCTGGAAGCCAGGGATGAGGGAGAGTCTGCAGGGTCCCTGCCTGGCTGCCTCCGCAGAATTCCGGAGCCCTCGGGTGCTGGGTGCCACCCCAGATGCCTGTGGGCATCCGGGAGAGGGAACTAGAAGCCACTGTCCTGCCCCCATAGCTTGGTGAGGAGGGTGCCGTGTGGTTCAACGGGGGGTTTCTTAATGATTCTGGGCCTCACTGTGACTTCTGTGTATCATTTTCTCCCTTTGCTGCCCCTCCCTCTGTACAGCGTTGCTATCAGAAGCGAAGGGAGTAAACTTGTGAGCATTCAAGTAAACTGAATAAATTAATTTGCTGCTATGAGCAGTCCAGATGGACTCACAGTAGGATGATTTAGAACTAATAGGGAGCACAGTGAGGTCCCACAGTAGCTGACCAGATTGGCAAAAATTGGCAAGCATAAGGCCACCAGGTGCTGGAGGCAGGGCACATGAGTGCAGCTCAGCAGGATATCACAGCCAGAGGTGTGTGCTTGGGGACAGACTATATGCCTCGGGTGTGTACCCCAGGAGCCGGGAGCAAGAATGTTCTCCACAGCCCTGTTTACAGCAGTTGCAAAATACGAACGACCCAGAGGTTCATGCACAGCAGGGTGGGCGAGTCAGCTCTGGTTTGCATGCATCAGCAAGAACGGACAGACTACAGCTGTGCACACAGGCAGAGCCTGAAAGCATAAGTTTGTGTGAAAGAAGCAGGTCACTGTGGATGAAAAGAGGCTGCGTGCTAACCTGACAAACTCAGGGGAGGCCTGCGTGGCAGACTTGCAAACTCAGAGACCTGAAGTAACCACCAAGGATGGTCTGAAGTGAAAACTTTTTAACTGAAAGCAGTTTACGGCAGGTAGTCATGTTCTAGGCCAGCATCTTCCCTGACAAAGGTCAATCTTTACCTTCACTGAGCCTGTTTATTGTCTTTTGCATCCAGGATAATATTCCTTTGGAGTGTCAGGGTACCTCTCCTTTTCCAGACCCCTCAGGGCACAACCAATGCACAGGGTGGAAACCATAAACCCTTTCATTGGTATTGTTATGTGTTAATTGTTTACTGTTAACTGTCCTGTATCCACCTATGTATGTGTCTGTCACTTTACTTTTCGTCTAATCCCAGAGGTTTCCCCCTTTGCTTTCTCCCGCCTCCCTAGTCTGTCACCAGTGGGTCTCATGTAACCCGCTTACGTCTCCTCTCTGACTGTAACGTATAAACTAAGGTGAGAAACTGCCATTCTCTGGAGCATTCCCCAATCCATTGATTTTGCTCCCCGACCATTGTCAACAGTTTGGCTCAAATAAACTCACCAGAATCCTCTGTAGATTTGTTTCTTACGTTGACATCACAAAAGAATGCACAGTGTGATTCTATTTTGAAGAAGATGAAAACGGGTAAAAAGCACACTTTGTCGTTTAGGAATGTGAACATAGATGGCAAATCTTGAAAGAAATGGTTATTCCGAAAGTCAGATGCTTGTCTTTGGGAAGACTACGGTCAGGAAGACAGACACCGTGGTGGTTGGAGAGGTTGCTTTTCGTTATTCTCTGAGTCGTATACTTATGGTCTGTGCACGTCTTTCTTTCTCTCTCACACACGCGGAACTAGACGGGGAATGGTTCCCTCACACGAAGTTTCTCCTCACACCTAAACTGCACTGGCCCCTTGAGGGTGGTTCTGTCCTTTTGGTTTTTCATCTCCAGCCACCCCTCGCCCCCACCCCAGGGAGGTCCAGACACCCACACGGACCTGAGACCGCTGGTGTCTCTCCCTTAGCAGCTGGGCTGCAGGTCAAGGATACAAATCTCCTTTCTACCTCTTGGGTGACTCTGAAGTCTGGGACTTGAAAAATCACCTGGTTCAAAGGAGGGTCAGCAGCAGTTCCTGAGCATGGAGGGCCTGGCCTGACCCCACAGGGCCATCTGGAGGGCAGTGGGCCCCTGTCTGTTGGCCACAGGGCCATGGTGAACCTGTGATGAAGCCCCCACCCAGGCACCCTCTCCAGTGGCCCTTCAAGGAGAGAGAGGTAAACGCTTTGCTCTGTAATGCAGAGTAACAAGTCGTGTAGGGTAGGCCACATGTCTGAGCCTGTTGTCAGGAGCTGGATGGACACATTGTGTGGGTGTGCCCTGGAGGTCGGGGCAGAACTGAGATTTCCACAGGGCCTGACTACACTGGGGACCACCAGCTGAGGGCTGGCGGGGGCCACCCGGGGCGCCGGCGGGCGGGAGAGGCGTGAGCACCGCGCACCGTGAGGGGCCTGTGGCAGAGGCGGTTTGGCGTGGCTGCCAGGTGCAGGCTGTGTCTGTGCCCACAGCGCTCTATTTGTGAAAGAAACCACCCAGGAGATATGAGCTGGAGGTTTCAGTTGCTCTGCCAGTCTGATCAGTGAAGACTTAGGGGCGACATGACCGCCTCTCCCGTGTCTGTCTTCCTGACGGCTGAAATGGCCAAGGTGAAACATCCCCGGGTGGAGACTGAGCCGTCAGTGAGGGGCCCAGGGTGCAAATATTTCTGGTGCATTCCTGCTCCTTCCAGGAAGACATGAGGAGCAGACCGGGGCGCAGCGTTGGCCAATTTGACATGCAGCCTCCCAGCCTCCCAGCGCGCCTCTCGCTTTGCAGTGTGCATTGCTCTGTGACCCAGATGACAGCTCATGTACGGCAGACCCACCTTTGCAAACATACACCCTGTTCTACGCTGCATTTCATCAAAGACTATCACTCTTTACCAACTCATTAAAAGCCAAACAAGGCCAGGCTTGCAGGCGGGCAGAGCCCGCCCGGGGAGCAGCTTCACAGTCCCTCCAATGGCTTCATTCTTCCGGCCCAGTTCTTAGCAGATGTGTAGAAGATCCTTCTGGCCCTTTTCCTCCAGCACCACATCTATTTCTTCCCTTCCCTGCATCCTCTCCCCTTTGCCAGTGCTGCCAGTGAGACACGGTTTGTGGGTGGAGAAGGGAAGACTGTATTGGGCACAGGACAAGAAAAGGTTGATTACAGCTATGGAAAAAACAAATTGGTATTTGACATTTCACAAAAGAATATCTTTTCAGGATCCATTCATATATTATAGTTTCATCATGCAAAATACAATGAAAAGAGTATTTTGGAATCCTGCCCCAGTTAAGATGAAAGTGACAATAAGAAAATGGTCTTTCCAGCCCGGCCGGTGTGGCTCAGTGGTCGAGCATCGACCCATGCACCCAGAGGTCGCCAGTTCGATTCCCAGTCGGGGCACACGCCCAGATCCTGGACACGGTCCCCAGTGGGGGGCACGCAGCAGGCGGCCAACCGATGTTCTCTCTCATCGATGTCTCTCTCTCTCTCAATAAATAAAGAAAAGTTATTAGGAAAAAAAAGGTCTTTCCAGAGGACTCATCCATCTGCCACCCTTCCCTCCATTTAGGAAGGCATAGTGTCTCCGGGTGACCTGGACCTCGTCATGTCCCAGGGCCTGGGCCCGCGGTATGCGTTCATCGGACCCCTGGAGACCATGCATCTCAACGCAGAAGGTAGGGGCTCAGATGGGAATTCTGTGCAGTGTTGTGTTTTCATGGGTTCCGTAAACAATCATAGGTTGTCTTTTCCTACAAATGAATGGAAACGGTGTCATGGGTAGGAGGTGGTGGCCAGCCCTGGTCATTCACAGGTAGGGCGGGACAGGTGGCTGTGTCCTGGGATGTCAGTCCATGGGCCTCAGGGCTCTGTGGAACAACATTCCGGTGAAGACTGGAAGAAGTGGCTGATGTTATGGAGAATTTGCCACATGCCATCCAGCGTGTTAGAAGACAAAGTGGTATTTTTCTGAGAAAGATCATGAAATTGTTTAGAGGCAAGAAAAAAAAGTAGGGACATAACCACATGAACCTCTGCTGGACTTACCTTCTGTGTAAATATGGGCAGCTTGCAAGTGTGATTTTCTGAGCTGTAGGCTTCTTTCCAGAAGCTGGGGTGCACGAGGGGGGGCTTCTGCAGAAGGGGCTGGTGCCCTTGGTTAGCGGCCAGGCCGGGCCATCAGTTACCCTGGAAGCTACCTCAAAGGGCTTGGGGAGGTAGGTATGAGCTCACGATCTGGTTACTCTAAAAGCAAGGTCACTTGAGACGGATGAGAAGCTTCCAAGAATGAAACTGTCCACCAGATTTTAAGCCGCTTTTAAAAGAAGACATCGTTTAAAAAACAAATAACAAAACCTACACCAAATTAAAACAATGAATCAAAAAAGCCATGTATAAAAATCTGGGGAAATGTCACCTATATAGTATGATGGCTGTTTCTCGGTGTTGAAATTATAAATACTTTTATTACCTTTTTACTTCTCTGTGTTGTCATACATTTCTATAATTATTGTAAGTTGTTTTTAATAATTATATTATTAACTTGTAAAACATATGCAGGAAGAGAAAGGGAATATGTGATTCAGCTCCAGGATCTACACTTTACAGAAACGCTGAGACACTGAAGCTGACCCGGAAGGAGTGGCGAGACCGTGTGCTGTCCGCCTGTCCATGACCTTTGTGGGGGTGGAACCAGAAAGAAAGACGGGGAATGGCAGGCAGACAGGTGTGGGGCCAGGCCACGCAGGGAGAACTTTCTCGTAGGCGGAACTGATGTGGGAGGAGAGGCCAGGTTGTGAGCGGGCGAGCTGGGCCTCTGGCGCTGGTCTGCCCTGTGCGGACGTTTGGACGCTGACAGCAGGCGGAAGTTGGAGCAGGTGGCCTCCGGAGTCTGCCTTGCATTTTGTAATTCCGTGAGGTTTGGGTGATGCTTTAGTGAATCTTCACCACAGTAAGTAATGAAATAAAATCTACAACACATAATTCCAAGCAGTATTGCCAGATGCACTCTTGCACACAGCAGGTACATGCCCGGGGCCTTGAGCAGGTTGGTCACGTGTCATGCAAATATGGTTCAATAGGTGATTTGATTCTTCCTTAGCACCCAGCTGAGCAACTGAGGGGGGAGGGGACTCTCCCCTGCGCCCTCATATCACTTCTGCGGGGTGGTAACAGTGGGCGTAGGAGGGGAATGTGAAGACACAGGCTTCATAAAAGTGAAATCAGAGTTTTGAAGTATCATTAAAATAGTCTTGGATAATTTTAAATGTTTTCCTTCCTTTTTTTTTTTTAACCAGAACCTTAAAAGTGATGAACATATTGAAGCATTTGAAGTGTATGTAGACATTGCTGGATAACCACTGTGTTTTTCTTTTCTTTTTTTCTTGAGAAAAATAAGATAATTCAGGTATCAGGAGAAACCGATAGGGAGAGACCTGAGAACTGCTTTGACTCTCCAAAAGCAGAAACAGAACCGATGAAACCAGAAACTCGGGAGTCAAACAGGGTGGCAGATAGGAAGGAGACCCATAACAATTTTTCACACAAAGCAGATTTGATAAGAAAACCTAATTGACTTAATATGATAATGGCGGACGGATGTAGTGTTCAACTTCAGAGCATTCCAAGGACCAGAGTTAGACAGTTATAAGATCGGGCCTGGAACCAGTGGAAATGATCACGATTCTTCACATTGTTGCCCAGGATATATCAAGATTGGAGTTAGGAAAGTTCTTTTTTCTGACGTCGTTTTCATAAAGCCAACATCTCAGGTTAAGGCTAGTTATTTGTCTTCAATGCTACAGTCTATCTAGGAGGGGTAAAAATATTTGACAATTTGTTTTTAATTTAATAAAATAGCACCTGAAATATAGGAGTCCTGCATGCTTCCTTTGCCTTTTGGCTACTTTTAAAAAGTAACAGCCACGAAGGACGAGTGGACCTGGTCCATGGAGCCAGGTGGCCTGGGCCTCTACTTGACCTGTAAGCTGAATAGCCCTGTGCAGTGGGTCCAAAGCACCTCAGTATCCCCATCTGTAAGATGGGGCAGCAGCAGTAACAACCTCACAGGCGTTGTGTAATAATGAAACCAGATGGAGACACCTAGCTGGATGGCTGACACATGAGGTCCATAATAAATGTTATATTCACACAGAGCTTTAATTCCCTACTCTTCCACTTAAAAAAAAAATTCTCCCCAAAAGATTCACAGGTGCACGAGAGAAATACAGAACACTTACAGATTAGGACATTTTTGCTGTGGAATATGAAATCCAAGGTTTCGGTTTGTTTCCTCGCTAAGATTTTAGACTAGCAGGTCAGCACATCCTGGCCCCGCCAGCACCGGGCAGCCTCCCGGGCGCCTGCCGAGTTCAGCTGTACCTGGGACATGACTGTTTATTGGGACCTGGCAGCTCCTGGACATCACTTCCAGTTGAAGCAAATGTTTACCATTTTGCCTCTCAGTTTCCCTTGTATAGATGCTTGTCTTCTTGTTGTTTCTGGTTTAAATCGAGATGCCTGCTTGGTGGGTCTGGTTTGTTTGAGTGGAGCTGTGAGCTGCAGTCAAACAGGTGAGCTGACGGGGCGGGTCCACCGCCTCTGGCAAGGCCTCGCTCGTGGGAATTAGATAACGTCCCTGTGCTTCGGAGCCTTTTTGATTTTCACTAAGAAGTTCTGACTCTTAAAGGCAGGCGAATCCACGTGCGTGGGGTTCACAGGCTGTGTGCACACCAGACTGCTCTGGTGCGGGTAGCCGCCAGGGCTCTCCAGGAAACAGTGCCCAGGGCGTGTCGGCGCAGACAGATGGGAGGCTCTCGCCGCTCCATCACCTCGGTCGTCTCCCCGTCAGGGCTCACAGCCAAGGAAGCACAAGTCAGACAGCAGCAGGAGACACGAGATCCAGTCAAGATGATCACTTCTTTCTCCCTTTTTTCCTTGTATGGTATAGTATAAGCATCTTTTAAGAAATTAGGTTCTAAGTCTTTATTTACTTTTATCCTCACCTGAGGACATTTTTCCATTTTTTGTTCAATTAGAGTGCGGGGGGGTGGGGGGGATCGATGTGAAAGGGACACATTGAGTGGCTGCCACCCTCACAACCCAACCAGGGCCAGGGACAAACTGCCACCGAGGTACGTGCCCTTAGCGGGAACCGAACCCGGGTCTCTCCGGACCGCAGGCCGACGCTCTAACCGCTGAGCCAAACCGGCCAGGGCAGTTCTGTGTCTTTTAAAAAGCCAAGCTCCCCCAGCCGTTGGAAGTTTGTGGTTGACCAGGACGGAGGGCGTGGAAGCCTGGAAGGAAGGACACGGGAGGCTCACTTCACAGGAACACAGGGGAGGGGTGGGCTGTGGGATGGAAGGTGAAGTGGCTTTTCTTTCATTTCCCCTGAAATCGGTATTCTGGAACATTCCCACTCAGTCCTCTTATATGACGGAAGGGAAGAGACTGCCGTAAGGTCATGAATGTGCTGGGACATCGTAAATGACTGTGACGCAATGTCCCTGTGAACTTGTACTTTGAGCCAGTGGGAGAGCCGTCCAGAGGTATCAGGCTCTCTACCCGCAAAGTGGGGGTCTGCACACGCTGGCTGGTGGCTGCGTCCCGCCACCGCCACGGCCACCGCCACCGCAGACTCGAGCTGCTCCCCGTGGGCCGGGTGCATGCTGCAGAAAGGGCTTTTACGTTTGTAGGACTGCAGTTTTCACTGATTTCCTGGAAAAGTTGGGGGGAAGTTATGGATTGTATTATAAGTTTTACTGTATTTTGTTTCTGTCTTAAAGAAATAAAGGCTCTTTTAAAGCCACACATTTTATGAAAGCAGGGAAAAGAGTTCTTGTAAGCCCCTGGGAGATTCAGATGATTTCACAGGGACACAGAAAGGTGAAGCCTTGTTCAGAAAATGTGGAGTAATCCAGAGTGAAATACAGCCCTGGATCGCACCCTGGGCTCTTTGCTGCCCGCGGACAAGGAGGTGGAACTGGTTCCGGGAGGGTACCCCTGGGCTTCTGTTCCCCGCACGTGTGTGAACACGCAGCTCCAGCCAATCCTCCCATTTCATCCTCACCTTACCTTTCCGTCTCGATTCTCGTGTCTCTGTCCCCAACTGTTTGAGTCTCGATTTTACCACCTTTCGTTTCAATGAATAAACATAGATAAAGTGAGGAAGATATTTAATTTCCGAAGGAAATTTGTTGTTTTCTGTAAAGTTCTGGAAATGCTGAGCCTTTAAAGACAGCTCGATGGTGCTGGTCCCTTTCGGGAGCCTTCCGGATCCAGAATTGTCAGGTTGTACTTGTATTAAATGAAACGAAACCCTTATTTTGAAAGAAGAGCATCCATCACTTAATTGTAGGTGCTAATGTCAAGAAAGTTGATATGTTTAAATATTTTACCCTTCAAAACAATTTCTCTTCTGAGAGCAGGTGTGATCTACCTTTAGCACACTGAAAGAGAAGCAAAGCTATTCAATGCAAATAAAACGGGAAATTCGGTGAATTCAGGCTTTCACAACACTGTGGGTCCAAAAACCAAACCCCAAAGGAATTTTTCTTTTTTTTTAAAGAATATCTCGTGCCCTGGCTGGTTTGGCTCAGCGGTTGGAGCGTCGGCCTGCGGTCCAGAGAGACCCGGGTTCGGTTCCTGCTAAGGGCATGTACCTCGGTTGCAGTTTGTCCCCGGCCCTGGTCGGTCATGTGGGTGGCAGCCACTCGGTGTGTCCTTTTCACGTCAATGTTTCCCTCTCTCTCTCTCTCTCTCTCTCCCTCTCTCTCCCTCCCACTCTACCTGAACAAAACAAAAAATGGAAAAATGTCCTCGGGTGAGGATAAAAAAAGAGTTTCTCGTGGTGATGGTTTTTCTGGGGTAGATGAGAGCCAAGCGCGGGATCTTTGCAGATTCTGCTGTTCATTTGTTCCCGTGTTACCTTTTATTTTATTTTTTTGTTAATCCTCACCCAAGGATATTTTTCACTAAGTTTTAAAAGATAGAGTGGAAGGCAGGGAGGGGGGGAGAGAGAGAGAGAGAGAGATCAATGTGAGAGACACACGTTGTTTGCCTCCCACACAACCCTGACCAGGGGATTGAACCTGCAACCCAGGTCCACGCCCTTGACCAGGCATCAAATCCGTGACTCTTGGGTCTACAGGCTGATGCTCTAACCATTGAGCAAACCAGTTAGGGCCTGTGTTACCTTTTAGGCTGAGTGACCAACCTCTGAGTCTTCCTGGTTGTGAAAGATGTTGGAATTGGGCCAAGGGTGACGCAGTGAGTGGCTCAGCCACGTCCCCAGTGGGCCCAGCACTTAGAGACGCCTCTACTATGCACACCCAGGGCTGGTACACGCCTGCACTGGCCCAGCCCTGCTGCTGCCCGGGCCGGGGGAGGAGAGGCATGCCAGCAGCAGACGGGTCCCTGCAGGCCCGTCCACGTGCTGGGAGCAAGCCTGGCCTTCCTCTCCGTGCACTCCTGACTCCAGCCGAAGAGCTTAGCTTTGGCCACACGCAGCCCACAACTGCGTCTGAGTTACCGTGCTGCTTCCTCCTCTCTTCTTCATGGGTTTCTCATCAAAATCCTAGGGCCCTTACCTCAGCATCTGAGGCACTGGTTGGGTTCCCAGGGCCAGGAAGCTGCAGAAGCAGTTGGGGAGCCGTGCAGCCTCGGGACAGAGGCAGCCTGGGCTCTGGGTCAGGGCGGTCATCCACTGGCCACGCTCCAAGCCTCCTTCGAGGATCTGCTGCTTTGTAGACACCCAATCAAGTGGTAACGAGAAGTCAGGGAACAAGTATAAAATGGGAAACAGATCCAAGTGAGCTGTGACATCCCTGGTTCTAAGAAAACACATTCAAGCCGTTTACACAGGGAACCTCATAGAGACATTGTTCAAGGTCATGCTTTTGGTGGAAATGGGACTTAGTGGGATAACCAGGAAGTCAGTGTAGGGACACAGGCTGAGTGGAGTGTCCTGCGAGGCACACCCACGGAGGCAGAACGGCAGGCCCCTTGCTCTCCAGGGTCCTGAGCTGAGGGAGAGCTTGACGAATGACTCGGGTGAGGGCCCTGGGTCCCCAGTGCCTGGCCAGGTGCACTGCCCACCTTGCCCTCACTCGCAGGAAGAAAGGATGAGTTCACCTGGGGGGGGCTCCCAGTCGGTGTCTTAGCTGGGAGTTCTCTAACGTTCCGGCTGATTCTCTGGATTCTTGTGTACCTGTGGTTTTAGGCACGTCAAGCTACTGTGCCAGATATGGTGAAAGCATGAAACACGTCCTCAAGACATTCGGACCCATCCCAGAGTTTTCTGGGGCCACCGCTGAAAAGGTTCACCAGGTGCGTGAGTCCCGCGGGCTGAGTGGGGGAGAGCTCTGTGCGCCGGGAATCTTATGTGTCGCTAGAATCTCCAGTGTTGGTTTTCACGGCCCCTCGTCCCCAACTTGGCCAGCCACAGTTGTGCAGGGTGCCTGGAGACCTTCAGAGCAGTGTGACCAGTGGACCGGGAGCTCACTGTGACTTCTCTGCGGAGCTGCGGTCTCTGAATCAGAAAGCTCCTGCGGCGGAGGGTCCGCTGCGCTCCTTCCGTCCGCGAGAGCAAATTCAGCTGGCACAGCAGGGCCAGCAGCTGTGCTCCTGGCAAGTTACCTCTTCTTCACACCTTTGTTCTTTTCTTATTTTTAAATTGTTTTCACTTACAGTTGATATTCAGTATTATTTTATATTAGTTTTAGGTGTACAACATAGCAGTTAGACATTTACATAATTTACCTAGTGATCCCCCTGGTAAGTCTACTACCCACCCGGCACCACACGTAGTTATTATAATATCACTGACTATATGCCCTATGCTGTACTTCACATCCCCCTGACTATTTTGTAACTACCAGTTTGTACTTTTTAACAAAATCATCCTCACTGGAATATATATTTACTGATTTTACAGAGAGAGGGTGAGAGAGAGAGAGGGAGATACAGAAACATTGATGGGTTGCCACTCATACCCACAACCTAGGTATGTACCCCGACCAGAAATCAAACTTGAGACCTTTTTGTGGACAGGATGATGCTCTAACCAACTGAGCCACACCAACCAGGGCATGCATTTCTTATCCCTCAATACTTCTCACCCATCTTCCCAAGTCCCCTACCCTCTGCCAACCATCAGTTCTCTGTATCTATGAGTTTGTTTCTATTTTCTTTGTTTTTTAAATTCCAAATGTTAAGTGAAATCATATCGTATCTGTCTTTCTGTGACTTTTTCACTTAGCATAGTACCCTCTAGATTCTTCCATATTATCTCAACTGGTAAGATTTCATTCTTTTATGTTTGCATAATATTCCATTGTATATATGTACCATCTCTTCTTTGTTCATTTGTCTATTGATGGGCACTAAGGCTGCTTCCATACTTGACTGTTGTAAATAATACTGCAATGAACATAAGGATATCTTTTTGAATTAGTGTTTTGAATTTCTCCAGATAAATACACAGAAGTGGAATTGCTGGGTCATATGGTAGTTTCATTTTTAATTTTTTTGAGGAACCTCAGTACTGATTTCCATAGTGGCTGCACCCATTTGCACTCCCACCAGCAGTGCACGAGGGTTCCCTTTTCTCCAGTCCTCGCCAACACACGTAGTTGTTGGTTTACTGATGACAGCCATTCTGACAAGTGTGAGGTAGTATCTCATTGTGGTTTAATTTGCATCTCTCTGATGATTAGTCATATTAAGCATCTTTTCCTGTGTCTATTGGCCATCTATATGTCTTCTTTGGGGAAATGTCCTCTGCCCATCTTAATTGGATTATTTTGGGTGGGTTTTTTTGTTTTTTTTTTTGGTGTTAAGTTGTATGACTTGTTTATATATTTTGGATGTTAACCCCTTATCAGATGTATCACTGGCGAACATGTTCTTTCATTCAGTGGGTTGTCTTTGTGTTTTGTTGATGGTTTCCTTTGCTGTGTGAAAACTTTTTGGTTTGATGTTGTCCTGTTTTTTTCTTTTCTTTTCCTGTTCCCAGGCTATGTGTATGAAAGTTCCAGATGACCCTGAGCACTTAGCTGCCAGAAGGCGGTGGAGGGACCAGTGCCTCATGAGACTCGCCAAACTGAAGAGTCAGATGCCATCCCAGTGAAGTCTGTAATGCTGTCACTCGCCTCACCCGAAGTTCTGATTGGTGGAACCACAAGGACTTAATCATATCGCTTGAAACAATGGCAGCCAGAGGTACCTTGGCGTGCAGGTCCCGAGCGCGCTCCCAGCTTAGCAGTAGCTGAGTCAAGGTGCCCTGACCTGGTGTTGGAGCAGCACTTAGCTTCTGAGAGCTGTTGAGCTCCTGCGTCCTGGGCGAGCAGGTCATCTCGGGATTTTCACTTTTTATTTTTAAGTGTGATTATGCATCCTGCCTTTTATAGCTAACAATTGTAGTTTCAAGTCATTTTAATCTGTAGCAAAATATTTTTATAATTACTTCTAATTCCTCTCTGAATACCCTGTGGCCCTGCATTTTTGAGGCAACGAACTGCCTTCATTTTGCCAATGCTTATTCTAAATAAAAGTCTTTAATTCCGTACAGATGTCCGTTTTCTTCTGATCTTTCTGAGAAAGACAGTGTTTGAGCCTGATTATCAATGTGTTTCAGAGTGACCGTGATGAATGAGTAAGAAGCAAATATTTCATTGTGGGTTCTTCGTCTGTCATTCAGTATAAACCCACCTACTTGGGCCAGTGTTCTGAGGCATGTTCCGCGGTGCCCTGTGGCTCTGTGGTCACTCTGTTTGGGAACCTCCATGGACTGCCTGCCCCTGGGCCCTCACGTCTATAGGGAACTGGGGACTCCAAGCTCTGCAGTAAAGATACCTGTTTAACTTCACCCAACGTCCCATCATCTTTAACGTGGAGTCTGTTCCTAGCGCTGCTCTTCAAATACCCGGGTAATAGCATGGAAGTCCCCCCACCCCGCAGGGCCAGCACATCACAGTGACTGGTCACTGGATGCTGCTGCGGGGCCTGTGACAGCTCCCAGCCCCAGGGATGCTCCAGCCTTTACATTTCTGCTTCCCAACTTCACCCTGTAGGACATGCCTCCCTCGGGCAGGCGGTGGTGGTGCTGGGACCAGCGCCCTGCGGAAGTGGCGTTTCCAGCTGAGTGCACACATCACTCACCCATCCCGTGCATTGATTTACTTTATTAGTTAAAAAAGTTTAACTACAGTTGACATACAGTATCATTAGTTTCAGTTGTACAATATAGATTTTGAAGTGATCACTCTAATAAGTCTGGTTCCCACGTGACACCATACATAGTTATTACAGTATTATTGACTATATTCCCTGTGCTGTACTTTACATCCCTGTGACTTTATTATTTATTTAATCCTTACCTGAGGATATTTTCCCATTTATCTTCAAATAGAGTAGGGGGAAGGGAAAGAGAGAGAGAGAGAGAGAGAGAGAAACATCGATGTGAAAGAGACACATCGACTGGTTGCCTCCCTCATGACCCTGACCAGGGCTGCAACCCAGGTATGTACCCTTGACTGAAATCAAACCTGCGACTCATTGGTCCGCAAGCTGAAGCTCTAACCACGGAGCCAGGGCTCCGTGACTGTTTTTATAACTGGCAACTTGTACTTCTTAATGCCTCCCCCCTTTTGTCCATTCCCCCCACACGTTTATTTATGCAGCAGCATCCACTGAGCACCTGTGATGTACCAGGCATCTTGCACATGGTCATTGCCTCTCAGTTTACTGTAAGACAACCAAATGTCAGAGTACACCAGGACAGTGCTCCAGAGGGTCATAGACACAGGCGATCACAACTCTCTGTCCCTGGGTGTGTGCCTGGAAGGCCTCACAGTGGGCAACCTTTGAGCTGGGTCTTGAGTAACAAGACAGCCTTCTTGGCCGAGGGCGCAGAGCAGGGAGAGTGCTGGGCACCCTGGAAAGGGGATTGGTTCCCTGCGGCCTGAAAAACGGGAGGCTGGAGCTGGGCCAGACCCAGGTGGTGGGGAAGAGCCCGGGGCCACTTCAATGGTCAGACCTTATGAAAAGCAATAGAGAACCTCAGTGGCCTAGGTTACAAGTGGTCCAGTCATTCGTCCTCCCTGTGACCTGTTGGGCCGTTTCTCTGGGCCACAGTCAAGCCCTTGCTTTTCCCAGTAGCTTCTGGCTCCTGCTCTTCTCTCTTCAACGTTCTCTTCCTCATCTTCTTAAAATCTCTGCCCCGTGCCCCATGCCTGCCTTCCTTCCCTGAGGAGCACGTGAAGGCTGCACACGTCCCTGGACCCAGGTTTGGGATCACTGACACGCAGATGCCCGAACTGGGGGACATGGGGTGCTGGTGGGTGGCACACAGACATCCCGGTTGGTTTCACAGCACTGATAAGCCAGTTGGGTTCCAGAAGGAGTGGCCAAGTGAGGCCATCTGGCCCAATACTCAGGCCATAGGACAGCAAGGCAGGTGCATCCTGGTGCCCCCTGTGGTGGCGTGGGCGGGAAGACAGAGTGGGGGCAGTTTAGGATCACATTCACTTATACGTTTAAGTTATTTTTCCCTACTCTTTGTCAAGGACTTCTGTGGGGGTATCAGGTCTGTCCCGAGACGCGTCCGCACATGCTTCCCGGCCTCGCTGCAGCTGTCGGTGTGCGACGGGCCAGTCCCTGCAAGAGGTGGGCTGAGAATGCCAGAGGGCCGGGTTTCATCCTCCTCTAAGGGCTGAGAAGTTGGACTTTCCAAGCGAGAACAGCAGAGAGCGTATCTGTGGCTCTGGGCAGGAGACAGTTATGGAAATTGCTGGATAGAGTGAAGAATGGATCCAACCAGGAGCTCAAGGGAGGGCCAGGTATGTGAGCACCACCTCCCACAGAACCCAAGCAATTAGGCCTTTGAGACAAATTGCAAGACAAAGGAGGCCTTTCTGCTCTTCACTTTGTCGTGCTTGGGGCCTGCTTGCGTTGATAAGTTTAGCAACTGTGTAAGCGCACATACCAGTTTTCCCATTAATGTGCTCCTTCTGTCTCAGAATCCCATCCAAGACTCCACACTGCATCGCGCTGCCAAGTCTCCTCCTCTCTGGTCTGTGTCAGCGTCTCAGACTTGCTTTGCTTTTCATGCCCTGAGAGCTGTAGAGAGTCCTGGCCAGGTAGCCTGTAGAATATTGCGTGTGGTGTTTTCTTGTGGTTAGTTACACTGGGACTAGGTTTTGGGAAGAATACCCCAGAGGTGAAGTGCCTTCTCAGTCCATCCTTTGAGAGGCATGTGCTATTGCTGGGCTGTGAGAAGGACCAGCCCAGTTGGATATTGCCCTGACTGGTGTCTGAGTTCTTTTCCCAGAACTTCAAAGCTATCTGTCTCCATCCCCCTTGTAACGCACACATCGTTTCTCTCACGTTGGTCTCTGCTTCCAAATGACTTTTTCCCCAAAGCCCTGGACCACATTCGTGTGCACAGGACCCGTGGTTTCCCTTTCCACGTGCAGTTTAGCTGCTCGGTGCTCCGTCAGGACCGAGGTGGTGCCAGCCCCCAAAGAATGGAAGTTGTTTCCATGGAAGTTGCAGAAAGGTGTTAAAGATGGGGCTAGCCCTCGTGTCCCTGTTTTTCATGTCTGGTTCTTGTGTGGCTGATGAAGTACAAGGTTCTTTCCCAGGCTAATCAAACTTGCAAGACTGAAACAAGAAGCAGAATGGCAGTTTTATTCATTTTCAATTGATCCATCTATCAAACATTTTCAGAGCATCTATGGTATGCTGGGCTGTTCAAGTGTTGGGGATACACTAATAAACAGGCAAGAACCTGCCCGTGGGGAGCTTAGTCTGTAATTCTAGTGGGAGACAGCAAAACATAAACCAATAAGGTATAGAAAACATCAGAAGGGGATCGGTTATGTGGCTAAAAAATAAAGCAGGGGAAAGCAGTAGGGAGTACAGGTTGCGTGTGTGTGTGTGTGTGTGTGTGTGTGTGTGTGTGGGGGGGGGTGCGCGCGCGCACGCTTTTAGAGAAGTAATCAAGGAATGCATAACGAGAAGATAACAGTTGCGCAGAAATCTGAAAGAAAGGCCCTGGCCAGTTTGGCTCAGCGGTTGGTACAGAGAAATCTAAAAGAAAGGGAGGATGGGTCCGGAGAGGTGTAGGGAGGAATGCTTCAGGGAGGAGGAACAAAAGCAAAGGCCCAGGGCGGAGCGAAGCCTGCCCCTGCCCCAGGAGGAGGCTGTGTGGTGAGTGGCAGCAAGAGGAGGGAGCAGTAGGGATGAAGCAGAGAGTAAACTCCAGCCTTGAAAGTCAGTCTGACGACTGGCTTTTTCTTTGCACAAGGCGGGAGGCCGGAGAGCATTTTTTAAAAAAATTGTGGTAAGGAATACTTAATTTAACATGAGATCTACCTTTAAAATTTTTAAGTGCACAATATAATACTGTTAACTGCAGGCACAGTGTTGTATAGTAGATCTCTAGCATGGATTCATCCAGCATAACTGAAACTTTGTACTCATTGAACAGAAAACTCCCTTTTTCTCTCTCCTGCAGCCCCTGGCAACCACCATCCGCTCTGGGCTATAGCTCACCATACCCCCCGCATCCCGCTCACCCTACCCTGCGTCTCGGCCCCTCTGAGGAGCAGCAGCAGAGATGAAGCTATGCCTCTGGGCAGTCTCAGGGGGTGTCAGTGACTGGCTCTGGGGCAGGGGCATTCCTCCCACTTCCCAGCTGTGACTGGTGTTTTCCACTTACAGGAGAGCTGATGGAAACTTCCAGGTTCCAGACCCTGCCTGCCTACAAGGGGCTCTGCCCTGCTGAGTTCAGGGAAATATTTCCAGACTCAGATGTGTGGCTCTGGGGACAGAAAGCACACTCACCATCTTCCCTGAAGTCTGAATGGAACCTCCCCACTAAATGAGAAATCCAAGATCCCCATCTCCCAATTCTGCCAAAAGCCTCTCCAGTGACTAAGCCTGAGAGCTGGCTGGCAGGTGGAGGCAGGTGGAGGTGGATCCCGAGATGCCTTGGCAGGTTTGCTGACTGGCCTCTGGGCTTAAAAGCCAGCCTTGGAGCACAGACTAGCCCCTCCCATGTGCAGCAAAGTTCAGCAGAGGCAGCCACCGACTGTAAATCACTCAAAGCTTCAAATAGGTTGCTGAGATCCTGGGAGGCCTGGAACTTGCAGACAAAACAGCGTCAGACAACATCAGAGTAGGATTCAAAGGGAGATCTCAGCATGCACGGAACTTTGCTGAGAAGAATGCCACTTTGATTTTTTCATTATTTTCTTTTTAATCGCTTTATTATTTTTTTCTCTTTTTTCTTTCATAGCTTTTATTTTTCTTTCCTATTCTTACTTTATTTTTTTTCTCTTTCTGTCTCTCCTTTTTTCCTTTCCATAATTTTTTCTTTTTTCTTTTTTACCATTTTCCTGTTCCCATTTTTTATTATTATTATTTTTCTTTCTCTTCTTTCCTTTCATATTCTTTTTTTTCTCCTTTTCTCTCTTTTTAAAATCATTTTTATTTTTCAATTACAGTTGACATAAAATATTATATTAGCCCAG